TTTAACTTAGCAGTTTTTCTTCAATATAGGATTTAATGTTAGGATATAAAATAATGAATATGAATATATGATCATTAAACTCCAAAATAATCTGGATACTAAAATTACTTTATAAATAGGTTGAGACCTGAAAATAAAAGCTGTAAATATATTTTAAAAATTGTATATGTTTTGTGAATTGCATATAAAAAAAATACTTTGTTCTTCCATATAACAATTTTCGGACAGTTGACGTGATGATAATTATAGCAAGGAAATATAATAAAATATTTATTCGTTATACAACTAAAAAATCTTATTAAATAAGAATAAATTTAAATATTTCTTAATTATATAAGATTATTTACCAATATTTTGGAATTTGAATATTTTAATCAAATATAAGATACAAAATATGACAAATAATTTAATTTTTTTTTTAATTCAATTCGAATTTTCGAATCAAATAATTGATTTATTCATATTCGTAAAATACGAATCGAATATTAAATAATTAGTTGATATTTTCAACTCGATCCTCTTTGATTTTCTAAAATGTTTGTATGGTGGCAGTAAGTGTCCAGAATATAAATAAATAAATAAATAAATAAATAAATAAATAAATAAATAAATAAATAAATAAATAAATAAATAAATAAATAAATAAATAAATAAATAAATAAATAAATAAATAAATAAATAAATAAATAAATAAATAAATAAATAAATAAATAAATAAATAAATAAATAAATAAATAAATAAATAAATAAATAAATAAATAAATAAATAAATAAATAAATAAATAAATAAATAAATAAATAAATAAATAAATAAATAAATAAATAAATAAATAAATAAATAAATAAATAAATAAATAAATAAATAAATAAATAAATAAATAAATAAATAAATAAATAAATAAATAAATAAATAAATAAATAAGTAAATAAATAAATAAAGAAATAAATAAGTAAATAAAGAAATAAAAGAAAATAAATAAAAAATAAAGAAAGAAATAAAGAAATAAATAAAGAAAGAAAAAAGAAAGAAAGAAAGAAAGAAAGAAAGAAAGAAAGAAAGAAAGAAAGAAAGAAAGAAAGAAAGAAAGAAAGAAAGAAAGAAAGAAAGAAAGAAAGAAAGAAAGAAAGAAAGAAAGAAAGAAAGAAAGAAAGAAAGAAAGAAAGAAAGAAAGAAAGAAAGAAAGAAAGAAAGAAATAAATAAATAAATAAATAATTGTCAAAATTATTATAAAAATTTTTCAAAAGATTTCATATTTGTCAAAACATATCACTCAAAATTTAATCTTTTTATAGAAAATTCAAAATTACTTAGCAAGATAATTATGTTAGCAGAGGGCCTGGAAAACCTATAATGCGCATTTTCACATTTAATCAAAATTAACCAAACTATCTATATTTTTCTAAATACAAACACTGTATTGTTGCCCCATACTATCGAGTAACGAGTGTTAATAAATTTTAAGCTTTGAATGGATTAGACATAACGTGTTTTTCCTAAAAATAACCTGTCATGGTTGAGCATGAACAAATATTTTTTGGGAGAAAAAAAATGGATAAACTATTAAAAATTTTCAAAATGTATAATATTTGTATTTTATAGCAAAATTTTACATTTTTTTATTTCAAATTTTGTTATCCAATTATTTCAAAACAACCAGTAAAAATTTTCTCAGCCCCAACGGCTTACAGTAAAGGATTATTTTCTATAACCAATAAAAGTTTACTAGAAGAAAACGATCGAACCCAATATATAAAAAATATACCATTTATTGTCCAGTGGCGTTACTAGAGAGAGGTGAAAAATTTGAATAGACCCCTGAAGCAAAAAATTTTTTTTTAATGGAGAGATAATATCCCCTTGACTAAAAATAAATTTTTTTCATTTTCCTCTGAACGATTTCTTTTATAATTTATTACTTAATATATAAATTAAATTTTATTATTTAAAAATTAAGTCTATCTAAATTTTTATTAAATGAATACCATTTTAATTATTAGATTAGATTAATACATATAAATTTTATATTTTCATTGTCAGCTTGCAATCAAATTCTGTGTTAACAATAGAATATCATATCACTCACTAAATATTAATTGAGCATTAACAGTTAAAACTTTATTGACTTTTGTTATTTAAATTATTATATAACCTTAATTAAATAAATATAATCGTTTATTAATTTAAAATTAACAAATTTAATATTGTAATTCCGAGTTCAAAATCACTAATCAACTATATTAATTATTTTTAAATTTAATTACCATGCTCTTCCTAAAAATATTTTCAAGGTCCAAATAAGTATGAGATTTCTTTATAAATAAGTAGACATGTAGTTTATAATCCTTTAGTATATATAATTGGTTATTGAATATTAGGTAAAATGCCACTTTTACACACATATTTGACATTTATATATTATATTACAGTTAATATTTTAATAAATTTTACTAATAAATGCTTTTGATAATAAATATAAATAACAATTTGCATTCAATTTTTTAATGCCATCTATTTAATTTAAAATATTATTATAAATAAAACATCTTATTATTCATCCCACAATGGATGTAATAAATGAGATATCCTAATGATATATATGGCATTCTTGCCGTAAATAACTTAAGGCTTCAATACTAACATAATAAATTCTGATATTAGTTTACATCGTGAGTGTCATGGCTATGACTGCATTTTAACCAGCAAGCTAAGATTACTACAGCTGCTGAGAGCCTATGATCGTATCATATATTTTAGATAAGCAATAATGATCAACTGTGTAGTCGTCGATCTTATTAGCTCCCATTATGTCATCTAAGATGGATCTCTAACCATCATATAATTTTATGATTTGAATTGATGGGGTTTATATTCTCTTCTTCAAGAATTGTTGATTTGGTTAGGCCTATAAATTTTTCCTTATAAGTTCATTCTATAAAACATTGTTTAAAATGATAACAGAGAGTAATATTAGTTTCAAGACCTTTTGTCAATGTAAGATAAGAATTATATTATATTATGTGGTTTTTAAAAATCATTATCAATTGAGGCATATGTATTAAATAATTAACCTTTTTTAATCACTTGTAATTCTTTAGACGCAAAATTGTTTAATATCAGCAATCGAAAATATTTTATTTTTAATAAATAGATGTTGTATTAAAATATTAATTATAGCAATGTATTGTATTGTTTTAATTATTTATATGCTAGTTTATTTTGTATGTTTTTTTAGTTGAGCCCCCTGAGAAGATTGTTATATCTAGTGACGCCCCTGTATTTGTCCTTTACATAAGGATTTTGATACATAAATGAGACTTGAATAGTGAATTCATAACTCATGAATATATGACCATTTTATTTGGTGTAATTATAAAATAAATAAGGTTTTAATATTCCTTGAAATTTTAATAGAAAAAGTTGATTGATCATTATTATATGGATTAATATTAATCACAACCAATATTATTTGTTGAATTCATATACATATATTTTATAATTTTTGAATTTTTATTATAAATCGACGAGTTATATATTAATTTGAATATGTAAAAAATAAAATTATGTTTTTATAGACTGGTAATTATTAATTGTGTTTATGAATACTGGTAATTTTTTTTTTTTTGTCAAATTGGCATTGGCCATAGGCTAGGTTGTCTTATCCCGTCTGTTGACATTTGTACTACCTGCAATAAGCATATGTTCAATATACTTGTAATTTTTGCATATTAGAAAAAGGATATATAATGGAGAAATTATGATGCGAAAATAGATTATTTTTTTGTTAACTTAAATTTTAATTTTTACTTTATAATTTTTACTTATATTTCTTATATTAATTTTATTTTTTTCAATTTTGATTATGTTTGTCCTTTGTTTGATTATAGTTATTTTAACAAAGATTAATAATCAGATTTTAGTATATATATTTTTTATTTTTATTTTTTTAGGTTCCAACTTTTCTCAATAGCAAAAACACTCTATTGTGACAATTATTATATTGTCGGATTAATATTTTAATCAAAAACAATATAAATATCTAAAAAAATGTCTAGTTTAAAAATTAATATTTATATTTTGACAACTACTTTGTCTCTAGTTTAAAAGAACTCGTTTCCGAATTGTTCAATAGAATATATCATAATTAGAATATAAATAAATAATTTTTATAAGTATAACACTCCCAATTAATTGCGAATATTATAAATTACATCCTATATTATGTTTTTTGAATTAAACTATAAACCTATCTCCTATATTATTTATAATTAACCAATGCGACATATTCCTTGCTAGGCCTACATTAAGGATTTTAAACTTATTTTTTTTAATACTTTGAATTAAATGGGATAACTTTATTCTCTGCCAAAATATCGTAGGGTGAAATTGTTTTGCGATTATTTATAATACTTAAAGATTACTAACTTGAAGCAAAACAATTCCAACAACATTTATTTGTACAACGTTTATATTAGAGAAAAAATCAATTAATATTTAGGGAATAAAAATAAAGCGATATCTTTTTCGAAAATTAGTTGTTAAATTAACCAATATTCAAGATTTAGTTTCAAATAGGGGGGAAAAGAAAACCTTCTTTAAATAATCTTAACAATTTCTATTAAAATCAAGCTTTTCTTTTTTTTGATTTTGAAATTATAATTTTCATATTAATAGATTTACTCATTATACAAGGTTAGTTTCAAATCTAATCAAAACATGAAAAATATTTATTTAATATTTTCTGCGCACAATATCTTTTATCATTAAGGTCAAGAATTTTTTTTGTGTAAATAATTATTTTCCTTATTTAAAAGGTTAAATTTTGAACTTCGTTTTTAAAAAGTAATATAAAATTTACGAAAATTTCATTAGGAAAATAAAGTTTAAAGGTCATTAAATTGCAATAGTAAAAATATATAATTTTTTATATTCAAAAAAATTATCTAATCAACAGACTCGTAAATATTTTTTTAAAAAAATTTATAATATTACCTTTTGAAACTGAATTGGAAAATTTTTTCAAAAATTATTTTTTAATCTAGAATTTTCAAGAAAATGATATTCATTCTATTCCTATGTATATTAGTTAATATTATGGCCCATCCAAGAGGTTTAAATAAAATAAAATGTTTAATTATATTTTAATAGATATATCCTTGTACAAATTAGATCAGATAGTAAGTAGGTTTGCTAATGGATGGCACAAAGGCTTAGAGCATCTCTTAAAAAAATCTAGAGGCTTGCATAAAATTTTTTTGGCTAAAATATTTGGCTAGACATTTTTAAAAAGTCTGCGATTTAACAAAATTACTCACGAGTTTGATTAAGGGTTATGCTTTCTCCGAAAAAACAGTTTTAATACACGATTGGTATAAATATATTGTTTACAATTAAGTGCTAATATTTATGGGATACTCACACTCTATCTCCTCCAAAAATGTAAACAATATATTACTATAACCAAGAATTTGAAAGAATAATTATTATAAGTTAAAAAATCTTTAAAATAACGATTAAAAGTGGAAATTAATATAAAAATGTTAAATTTGTATTAATATCCACATTTATTATTATCATTTTATTTTTAAATCATAATTTAAATTTTACTATATGATAAATTGCATTTTTATTTTCAAAACTAAATTACATTTTTTTTATCCTCTTTTATATATCTTTTTTTTAAACAAATTAAAAAAAATAACTAATACAAATTGATGTATAAAAAAATGTTAATATAAAATTTTGACCGATTAAATAACAAATTGATATAAAATAAAATAAATCAATTGCCAAAATAAATAATAAAATAACATCGATCAATATATTCAACAATAATGCATTTTTATGTAAAAATAAATTATTTTAATAAAAACTTAACATAGCCAAAGGCCTGTTAAAAGTGCGACATAATTACCTCCAATAAAATGGCTGGAAACCCGCCCACCTAATATTTCCTCCTTCTAGCAAAATCCTTGCTATACTTTTTGCTTTAATGTAAGTTAGATGGTAAATAGAAAAACTATTATTGTCATAAAAATATAAAACTTGTATTCAACGGATCATAAAATTTAACAATAATATTTTTAGGAAGAAAAGTAGTTAAATAATTTTTTATTTATATTTAAATTCATTTGAATGCTTCAAAAAGGATATATAAAAATAAGTTTTAAAAACTCTACATTAATTAGTTCATTGTTGCAAATAATGTGAAATTATTCAAATACTATATAAGAAATTAGATTTAATTATATAGAAAGAAAGGAGATACTATCAGAGTCTTTATAGATATGAAGACAATGGCATTTACATATACATTTTTCTGGCAGGATTTTTAAAAAATAAGTATTGCAATTAAATACGTTTCAAAATTATGCCAAATTATTGGGTTTATTAATTATCATTTTAGTAATTTAATGATTTTAAATTTACTTTTCTGTAAAAATATTTTTTATGTAAATAGTTATAACGACCGAATATAGAAAACTATGTTGGGGGAACCTATATGATGAATATCCTGATGAATTCAATATATACATTGGTAGAGAAGAATTATTGTGAGAATTTTTATGTAATATTATACGTGCTATAAAGGAACTTGTTTTAGATCATATTTAATTGAAAACAATTATAACCGTTTTTATACCTTCAAAATCACGACATATTTATTTTTAACTGTTTCTATTGGTATAATTCAGCAGACAAATATGATTTTGATTTAAATGTAGAGAAGTCAAATTGTAATTTTTTTTTAAAGAGTGCTAAGAGATTTTGACTTGTTAACACAAGATCAAGATCCAAATAATTATCAATGAAAGTTCTATTTTTAAAGAAAAGATATTTTAAACTCGGAGTTCCTCCAATCCTCAAAAAACTTTGCTGTATTAAATATTTATCTCAGCAAAGCTTTCATTCTGATCTTATAAAAATAAAATATGTTAACGTTTCGTTTGTTATTTCTTTAATTATAATATTTTAGACAGGGTTGGGCAAATTTTTAAAAATTGCATCCGGACAGATACAAATGTTCTTTTAAATATTTTTATTTTAGATAAAAGATACTTATAAATAATCTTAATAAAATTCAAGATACTTAATACAAGATATTTTTTTAACACTTTAAATAGATCCAAATACGTCATGCTATTTTTTATAAAAAAAACATGCTATAATATAAATTTATAAAAAAATATAAAAATAAATTGTAGAATGTTACATATTTTTTCTATAAGATAATGCGATATATAAATTGCATATTATAATAATGAAAACAATATCAGAATAAAAAATTAATTAGAATTATCATTAAATATGATTAATTCAAACAATTTGTCGTTTAGCCTTTGACAATTTTGTCGACTGATCATATCGGCTAAGCTTAATAATCGTCCAATTGGTGGCAGAGGATGGTAATATTGTGTTAAATTTAATAAATATTTCTTTAATATATCTATGACCATTTAACATAATTATATTAACCCTGTCATCTATCATATAATTTAAAATATCATTTACCGAATTATTTGAATTGGATATAGTATTTTTAAAACTAAAAGGAATCAAGATCTTTATTGATGGAAGAATTTGCTGAAATATTAATTTCAATATTATTTTTTAAAATAATTAAAGCTTCGTAATATTAATAAATCATGAAGGTTTTTTTTTCTTTTTCATCATTCAATCCAACGTTTTTTAAAGTAGGGATAGGAAAATGTGACCAAAAATTTGGTTTTAAAGTTATTATCCATATATATTTTTAAATATTTTACTTAAAGAAATTTCTACTGCAATAGCTAATGATTTACAAAAATGCAGATAAATTTGCATTTAATATAGGAGTTGATCCACCATAATAGCAATTGATTTCGCTTTGTAATCTGTCAGTTATAATGATGGATGTAAAACTATTTTAGTAAAATATGGTAGTTGTTTAACAAATTTCTAAACACCAACGTCATATATCATACATTATCTTAAAATATCTAAACTCTAATTAAATTTTTCATCTAAATTTTGAAATAATTTTCATTTTAAAATTTAATACTATTTCAAATAGCTAATATAAATTGTTATTAAATTATCTGTATCTTTTTGAATACAATGTTGATAAAAATACACATATTTTTAAATAATTGTATCTTAGATAAGATCTTTTCCAAAATATTAAAAAAGATGCGAATATCTGTGATTAATACTGATTTCAAATATAATTAAAAATTTATATTCAAAATCTCAATCAACATTAGATAGGTTTGTGATTAAGTTTTGTTAGCATACATTATCCTCATTGATGTCAGCATTATGTAATCGTTGATAATTTTTCTATTTTATCATTACCTACTTTCATTTACTTTTTTCTTAAAACTACCTCTCTCTTTGAATTATTTCTATAAAAATAATTTCATATTTATTTCCTTTCCTATTCATTATATTTGTTTTATTAAAAATTTTATGAAATTTCAATCTTCATTATATATGAATGTATATTTAAAAAAAGGTTCAACGAAATATATCTTATTAGAAATAACAATTCAGTAATGTCCTATATCGAAGGGAGTGATAGGGAGTTAGATACATATTCAACAAATAATATCACCAATAAAACGTTGATTTTATTTGAGAAGATTCAGTTAAAGAACTTAATAAAGTTGAAACAACTCAATCTAACATTCAAAATTAAAGCTTATGTTAGTAGCAATTATTTATACATTACATTTTAGTAACTTTTTTTAGATCGAGATTGGTTTGAATAGCTATGGCGCTAAGTTTAAACTATGTATGTTACCCTTAAATAGTAGTATATCATATATATGTTTGGAATTCATAAACGCAAACGTGAGTCAAAATTTTTAGTAAGATGTAGAACCGAGGAAGGAAGGAAGGAAGGAAGGAAGGAAGGAAGGAAGGAAGGAAGGAAGGAAGGAAGGAAGGAAGGAAGGAAGGAAGGAAGGAAGGAAGGAAGGAAGGAAGGAAGGTAAGGTAAAGAAAAGTGCTTGTTTATATATTTATATATATAGGTTAGAATTAGAATTGACAATCAGAATGTATCGGTGTTAGTAATACATCAGTCGTACAAAAGTTCAACCACATATCACAATCATATAGTATACTACTTCTCATGGATCCTACCAAATAAAAATTATTATCAATATCATTATACTGGTGGAATATATAAAATATCTTGCATTCTCAGCTTCTGTATTTATTAAAATTGTACAATAAACAAATAGATATGTATATTATATATTACTGATATTTGCGTCAATTATACCTATATTATTAAATTAAATAAACTAATCTAAATATTTTTTAAAAATTTAATTTACTCTAATAAATTATGAGAGACTATCTACTTAACAATCAGAAGTAATACACTATACATGACAAATTTCTTTATGTTAACTTTTTAATTTTTTTATTATTGATTTAATTTTTTTCATACAATTAAATGATGAATTGTTTAAAAGGATATAATATATATTAAGATATTTTTTTTTGCAGGTATTTGAAAGAATATAGGGATTTATATATATAAGAAATATCGACTCTATATGAAATAAACTTTTCCCAAAAATGACTAAATATATGAATAAGTTATAAAATAAATAGAGAGGGTCAGCTGAATGTGGATTTGAATCTTAATATTTCTTAGGCATCTATCTGTATATTATACATATAAATAATAATATTAAAGATATCAGATTTTATAATACTAATAATGAGACTCTGGGCCCTGCATTGTGGAAGAGAAGATTATACAAGTTAAAAATGATGATGATACTTATATTAAAAATTCATAATATATTTCTCACACAAAATTTTTAACCAATAGAAGAAAGCAAAAATATAATATAAATTTTAATAAATCACATGTAAAGACAAATTAATAGATATTATATAATTTAATTATTATTATTGCGCAGTATTTTAGAAAAAATTTAGAAATATTTATTAAACTATTTCTTATAAAAATAATTAGCCTTTTCAAATAAAATATCAATTAATCTATGCCTCTTTGACATTAATTAAATTTTCTAAACTGAATATCTACTGGAGGAAGATGGCAAAATAAAATTGTATAACTAAAAAAAAAAATTTTTTTTGTCGTATTTCATATTAAATCAACTAAAAAAACGATTCTCAACTATACCTACAGAAATACGGCTACGTTTGATATTATAAATCACTCAAAAAATTTAAATCTAAGCTTGAAATCTAACCGCAGATAAAATAGTTTCCAAATTTGTTAAATTATAATTTGATTCTATTTTATTTAAGAGCATTAATTGCGTTTATTAGTTTATTATCAATGAGATTTAAGTGCTCCTCAATTAATGAAATACAAATTGGGAGCATAGATTACGAAGACAATATCGCGAACTTATTATCGCGAATTTATTTCCGCGAATTAACCGCGAATACTCTAGAGATTACATTTTAGCAAAACTTTGATCGCAAACTCATTATCGCGAATTTATTTCCGCGAAACCTAAACCGCAAATACTTTAGAGCGAATTCATTTTAGCGAAACTTTGATCGCGAACTCGTTATAGCGAAACTTTAGTCGCGAACTCTTTATAGCGAATTTTCTTCCGTGAATGTATGTGCGCGTTATTATAGCGAGTGCAAGACCGCTAAAATTGCGAATTCATTTTAAGTGAAATTGATTTATTCAATATCAATTTACCAACCGAAGTTTCTTAAATCATAAACGCGAATATTTTATTACGACGCATTGTTTTTAATAAGCATGTAACCTCTATCTGATGTGATAGATAATATATTATTCTTTCTGGTCTCACTCACTCATTCATGGCTGTAAGTATGGAGGGGACATTTTGGGTTACGTTTTTACCAGAATAAGTTAACCCCCCCCCCCATATAAAATTTTAAAGTGTTCTTTATGTCATTTAAAGTAAATGAAATGCGTATTTTCCAATCTAGATAAAAAAAACTATACAGAAAGCTAAGAATTTTTTATTGATTTTCTCAGATTATTTTTAAAAATTATAGAAGATTTTACTGATAATTAATGCCTCCTAATTACAATTTTTAGATAATGCACATTTCTGTTATATTTTGACCTCTCCTTTTTCTTCTATACGTATTTTAATAAATTGAAATAACTGCAAAGTTATGATTAATCAAAAAAAAAATTCAAAATATCTATTGGATTACATAAATTTGTAATATTTATTAAGAATAAATTATGGAAATATATCATTAGATCTTCAATTATTTTAGTTTTTTATTTTTGCTCATTTCACAGTCTAACTAAAACAATATAAAAATTAAAAAACGTAAAATAGTTTTCATCATTTTTCAAAATAATACCAGTTCAATTTAAATCACAGGGTTTTTATGAAAACACCGCTAAACGCTTCTACTCAATTTGTAAGCACTTTTACTCATTTTTTCTAATAAAATGGATTTAAAAATAATCAGGATTTTTTTGAAAATAAATAGAAAATGTTCCAAATCAAGAAAATAAAGATATTCCAATATCGGGAAACCAGGGCAAAATGTAGTGTTTATTTATATACTCTTAATTTTACCACGACAAGAGGAATAGACAATAGCACACCTTTAAGTATGTATGAACCAAAAGTTATTAGAATTTCAAAAATTTGAATCAAATTTAGATTGAACAAAGAATTTAAAGAAAGCAATTATAATGAAAAAAAATTAAATGAAATATCTTAAAAAAATATTACTATCATTATTTATATAATCAACTTTTTTCTATTTCAAAATATGATGATTTAAAGATAAAAGGCTAACTTGATATTTTAGCAAAAGAAAATTAAGATTAGAAACTTTTCCGACAGATGACATAACTTGCGGCAACTTTGGAAAATGTTATATCAAAATGAGATGGATTGGTTAAGGTAAAATTTAAAACAATTAGGATAGCTAATTAGTTTCATCTAGCGAATAGGTTTTGTGCATTTGACCGGTTAAATATGGTTAAAATCAAATAAATATTTTTTTATTGAATATCATCATTTTCTATAATATTTTAATTTTCTTTTTGTCTAATTCTTCATCGATTTCTGTTTTAGTAAGATTATTGACACAAATCGACCCAATTTCTTTCTGAAGAAGAAGTAGATCTAGGAATTGTTAGTAATGTCCCTTCTCTTAATGGCCATGGTCCACTGCTTGAGATTGAAATCTGATTGCTTCTTATGGAAGTTACTGCTTTCCCCATGATTTTCTAACAAGCCGCTTTTATATCTGAAACTTATGATATAACTTGAAATAGTTTGATCACCACCTTGTATGCCTAACCATTATATTATATTACATACTTCATTAAATTCATTATGATTAAAATGCTCTCTTTAATATTAGGAACTTAATAAATAGCAGCATTATGATCAGATGTATTTATAACGTTTTTTCTTTTTCAACATATTTTTATATTCAGATCTTATAGAATATTTGACCTATATTTGACCATTTGACCAGGTCAAATATTCCCTAGCTCAATTTACCCGTCAAAATCTAGTCATTTGACTGGTCAATTGACTGACTTGCTAACCCTGGCCAAAATTGATTGATAAATTTATAAACATTAAGTCATCAGACAATAAATTTGAATGCTACCAGATATCAATTCCGCCAGTAAATATCAATATTTAACTAATAAACTTAATGATTAATATATTTATAAAGCTGAGTTCCTTGGGCGCGATTATTATAAAATAAGAACTTCGAAGAAAAGGATAGGATAGCGAAAAAGTGTATTTCAATAACAAATTTCATAAACCAGATCTAAGTTTATTAATCATTATATAATTTTTTTATGGTTATAAGAAAATTACAAACTATGTGAATAAAAAAATATTATTCAAATAATATAATTATAAAAAAATGATTTAAAATAAATTAGTAATTATTAGCAATTATCGCAATAATAAATTCTCTATAATATCTTCGCGATATATGTTTCGCAAAATAATTGTCGCTACATTGTCTTCGCGATTGTTTCGCGAAAATAACTTCGCAATAAAATTTTCGCGAATATTGATTCGCGATTAAAGTTTCGCGGTAATGTATTCGCTTTAAAGGTTTTGCGATAAAGGTTTCGCTATAAAATTTTCGCGATTATTGATTCGCGATAAAAGTTTCGTGGTAATGTATTCGCTTCAAATGTTTCGCGATAAAGGCTTCGCTATAAAAAATTCGCGATATTGTATTCGCGATATTGTATTTGCCATAATGTATTCGCTATAAAGGTTTCGCTATAAAAAATTCGCGATATTTGTTTCGCGATATTGCATTCATGGAATAGTATTCGCTATGGATTCGCGATAAAAGTTTTGCTATAAAATTTATTCGCGATAAACGATATTCGCGAAAAAGTGTTTCGCGTGAAAGTTTCGCCGAATTGACATGGAATGATATAGCAATGATAAAATCCTAAAAAGTTTTCAAGTTTATATGTATTCTTTTTAATATAGCTCATTCACTTTAATAAAGATAAATATATCACTTAGCAGATTTTCTTCAATATAGTAGGTTAGGATATAAAATATAATGAAATATGGATATGTAATCCTTAAACTTCTAAACAATTTAGACCCTAAAATTACTTCATAAATAATACATCTTTAGTTGAAACCTGAAAAAAAGGCTTTTGATATATTAATCAACTTAAAAAAATTATTTTTAAAAATATATGTGTTGTGAATTTAGAGGCGTAGATCCGAATTTTTTTTTTTTAATTTAAAAAAAAAAGTAAATTCTTTAAAAATTTTTTTCTTATTGCAAATAATTTTATTTAAAAAATGGTTTCAATTTATAAATAAAATAATATAGGATATGAAAATGAAATATATTAAATAAACAAATAAGAATTTTCAATATTATGATTGATAACATGGTTTAACAAATATTATATTAAAAATTATATGTAAAATATTAAATAACAATAAAAATATAATGTAAATTTTTTCTCTCATAGTTAAATTAGATATATTTAAATTTAATAATAAAATTTATATTGTTGAACTAATTAGATAGTTTTAAAAATTTTAATTAATTTTTTATAATTTTGAAATAAAAGAAAAATCATTTAATTTGGTAAATATAATGAGAAAATAAAGGGGATCGCTAATGTGTTTAGGATTAAAAATTTTAGAACTAGAGTAGTTTACAGATAGTCCAATCGCTT